AAAAAAAAAAAAAAAAGAAAAAAGAAAAGAAGAAACGATCGAAAGGGATGGTCGTAAACCGAAAAAGAGAATTGGCAGAGAATCGAAGGAGAAGTTGGAGACCCATCGGCTCTTATAGGGGCCCCTCCACGGGCCCATAAATATCGAATTTTTATTTTGAATGGGAAAACGAACGATCGGTCGATGCCGCTTGTCCCTGGCCCCCACTAAATCACCGTTACTTTATTAAGTATTACCTTTAGTTAACAGATACTTAATCAAAAGGTGCACGCCGTACGCCACTAATTTGACTTTGGCCCCCATAAATATCGAGGAGGACCCTATGCCGCCGCCGCCGCCGCCGCCGAAACCGGCGCTCTGCTGCCCTTCCAAATACCAGACGCACCCGGACGTGAACACCGACGGAACGACGGATGAATGGGCGATACACCAATGGCTTCGTACTCGATAAAATACTCGTGTAATTAAATGCGAGGCGGCGACATTTGTTTCGCTCCCCGCGTCCCCCCTCCTATATCGATCACGCTTTTTCGAAATTCCCGTCCCTGCGTTTCCACTCTGGAAAGCCGATCGACGATTTTGGTTATTGGTTATCCGTTTATCCGTTGTTGGACGGAGGGAAATTGTGCGGGCAAAGCAAAGGCGGTCGGCTCGCGGTTCGGTAAACACTAAACACTCGTTAGGGTGTATGGATTGAAACGCAATCTGTATTCGCTGTGGCTACCTTGAGGGGGAAGCGGGAGGAGAAAAGGAGACGGAAAGGCCTCGTGGTGGTAACTCGTTACGCGGGGGGAAGGAGGGGTTGCGAGGAAGAGGGTAGTTCTGGTGGCCAGAAGAGCCCGAGGCCCCCCCACTAATTGATTTGTGCTTCGCCGGCCCCTAGCTGCCATAACCTTTCTCCTCGCCCCTTGTTTCACCTCCTCTTCCAGCTACCCATTCCCAAGATTCGAACGCGCGATACGTCTTTACGATACGTTTCAATAAATCATCGAGTATATTTTCCACGTTCGATTTTTCAGAATAATTTTTCAGCGTAATACGTTCTTTTTCCTTTTTTTTTTTTTTTTTTTTTGCGTCGAGTAACAAATAAACGGATTCTCAGAAATAAATAATTCTTTGGCGCGCGTGTGCAGGCGGGCGTCGTTCGAGAAGCTTGGTAATTATATTCGCCGTTAATTACACGGACGAACGATGCCTTCGAGTACGTAGCTCGAGGTGAAAAGCGACCCTTTGTCGCGGCCCCGAGCTGTCCACTTTGCTCTCGCCCGGCATTTTTCTGACTTTACGTAATATCCTGAGCGAGGCCGGCCTAATGCAAACAAGCTGCCGTGAACCGTGCGCCTCCTTTGCGATCACACACGTCCCCCTTTCCTCGTGTCTGTGACCGCGTGAGCGCGTTCGCAATGGTGTACAGTTACACGAATCTGGATATGTGTCTCGACCGAGTGCATGAATATGTACTTTCGAGCGAGGAAGGGCGACGTTCGTATCGCGTTAGAGAGATGGGATAATTACGAGTGTTGCTATTTCCTTTTTCTCTCTTTCGCCGGCTAACGATCTTTCTCGACCTCGGGAATCCTTATCTTTATTGTCGTACCCGTAACCTGAGAACTCGTTCGACCGACCGAATATTCCGTTTCCATTCCAATATGGACACAAAATTTGACATTTGGCGACGAACAATCTAGATCGTTGCCTTTCCATCGACTTCGTTCAACACCGTTTAATTGTAACGGACGTCAACGGAATACGAGAACGCCTTCGAAACGATTCTCTCGCTATAATTGAAACGTCTGTTGAACGTAAGCCGTTCGAATGAAGCGTAACGTTTGTCCAAGGAAACGTTTCGAGTTTATTCGTACATAGGGAGCGTTGATGCGGTTTAAAGAAAAAGAAAGAATCGTATCGTACGATACGATTCGATGGAAGGAGAGTTCGTAAATCGGAGATACGAAGAGGAGGGGGGAGAGAAATGTTTACAACTTATCCAACTGCAATAATGTAAGCGTATGGTATATAAGCTTATAGCGAGATATTTAGCCGCGTATCGTGGCGCCACACCACCCAGGGGACCCTCTCATTATTCGCTGCCAGGATGAGCCTTTATTAGCAGTTATCCTGTTCGGTCTCGAATCTATACGTTCACATATCCATAAATTTGCGTTTACGGTGACCGTATCTTATGCAAATGAGACGATTTAATCCGTCGGATATTTCAGGGCATTTTTTAATAACCCTTTCTCCTTTACCCCCTCCCTTCTCCTCCTCCCCGAGTTTCGCCGAGATATTCGCCGATCGCTTCGATCGTTCGTTCGTCAGAACGATCAATTAGCGGCGATTCATCGTCCTGCCTCTTCAATCTCGTTGCCAAGTTTTCGGGAATGCCAGAAGCCAGAACCGTTTATAGGTTAGGTTTCCTCGTCGAGGGGAAATTCCTCGATTTTGATAATCTCTCGCTTATCGAATTTCAAATTTCTCCTCGTTCGCGTGACGGATACGATTGATGAATAAATATCTATTTTAAAATTAGATAAGAGTCGATAATGAAGTCATCAAACCGACAACGATTCCGACACTTCGAGGAACTTTATTACAGAGTTCGAAGATTCGGATCTCGATATATCGAAATTTCGAGGTCGAGTATATTTTCGCGGAATAAGAAGTTCCTCGATAAGATCGAAAAAAAAAAAAAAAAAAGAAGAAAGGAAAGGGAATCGATGTCCCGAGATCATCGCGCGGATGGGTTCGAAAGCAGCAATTTCGCCCGATGTTTCGAGCCGGCAAAGTGCGATAATAAGCCCGCGGGCAGTCGGTGAGAATCTGCAATTCGCTCCGCTCAAATTGAATACTCCGTAGGCAGAATCTGGACTCTCCGTCGAGGGTTAAACCTAAGATCACCGATCCGTGATATAGTTTGGGCTTTGTACCCGCTCTCTCTCTCTCTCTCTCTCTCTCTCTCTCTCTGTACAAACGTTCCGTTCGCTCGGTTCGACATGGAATGTCGTTTAACCGCGCGAACGATACACGAAACAGGATATTCGCGACACGAAAAGTGCGTATCATCGTATCAACGATTTAATTCGAGAAATTCGAATATCGTAATATTGGAATATTTGTACAAGTGGATAAGCGTTAGATGCGTCGGTTGCGCGAAGAGAGGTAAATAGTCGCGATGTCTCAATCCTCGGAGATAATTGACACGGATACACACCGATAGACCGTTTCTCAGAAAACGTATCTTGTTTTCCTTTCCTTTCCCTTCGTATCATTACGGGGAAGCGCTAATGCGGAGAATATCCACGGGCTGCCAGCAGTTACAGTCACTTCTCGCGCACGGAAAAGCTTCGTTAAGCGCGAAATTGCCGGTCGCGTCGCCCGCTACGCTTAAGATTATAACCGTACGAACGGTTATAATATCGTTCGACGAGCCACCTTAACGAAACACGCGATTAGTATTTCGCTATCAAGGGATCTTTAACAGCCTCTTTTTTTTTTCTTTTCTTTTTTTTTTTTTTTTCACGCCGAGCGTAATACCCCGGCACGTGCCTCGTTACACCACCTCTCGCGGTGAGAATTAATATTGCCGTTTCGAAGGATTGCAGATTTTCTTCTTCTTCTTCAACGTTGCGTCGAGGCGTGTACGGATCGTCGACTCGATCATCGCGGTAATTTCATTACGCGAGGTTGAAAAGTGGTTGAAAATAAATTTTATTACCGGCAAAATACCGCAAAAGGGCGATCGCGATCGACAAAGCAGCTGCTTTGAGAAACGAATTTGCGCGTATGGGATGCAGCTGGGTGCACGAGGCACGAGATTAATTTGTTGTTTCTTTCTTTTTCTTTTTAATATCGAATTCGAGGAAAGTTTTTTTTTTTTTTTTAAACGACGATTAGATCGATAATTTTATTATTAGAACGATAAGTCTGGTTACTTTATGACAGATTGTCGATGATTTTTATCTGAAGCGTGGATAAGATGGAATAAGATAGATTTCTCGTTGATCGTTTCGTTTACCGTGAAAAAAGGGAGAGAGAGAAAGAGAGAGAGAGAGAAAAAATAGGAAGGTCGTACGTGTAAATAACGGCGCGACGATAAATTAATCCAAGGCAGCGATGTGCTCGCGGTATACCGAATTCGCAAGCTGTTCCTCCCGCCACTATCTCTTCCCTCCCTCTTCCATCCCCGCACCCCCCCTCGCCCGACCACTTATCCATGATTTATTGAAATTACATCTCGACACGCGAAAAAAGGAGCCGTTTTCCAACGGCATTATCTTCCGTTTTCTCCTCGCCACGAACGACAATCCTCCGTATCCGTGACAGGACAATATAACTATCATCTCTTTGAAGATTAACGATCTTTTCAGGTGAGCCGAAGGGCGGAGTTGTACGGATCGACCGAACGTCTCTCTTCTCGCGTCTTCTCCCGTCATTGTGCGCGCTGGTTACCACCCGTGTTATTTCACGATTAGGGACGGCTGTTAGTTCGACCGAAAACGTCGTTATTTTTGGTTCTTAGGCAAACTTTTGAAGAAAAGAGTTGGTTTCTTTTTTTTTTTAAATTTTATCGAACAAAGATTTCTTGAGAACGGGTCTCGAAAATAAAATAAATTCGCAATTTCGTGTCACGAGAGTTTCTTATTAAGAAATTGATCACCACTTCTTATCGTTACAAACACATTGCGACACGCGTTATCGTATCAAGGTAAACACTCGTACTTCATACCACCCAATGACCTACCTTTTCGTCATGCGACATCTAAATTGCACAATAGACGCAATAAACGCGTAGCGCGATACACTTCGTACACTTCGTTTCATAACCTGAAAACGTAAAACGGATCTTTTTCTGAAAAGTCGAGAGAATCGATCGGCCAATTAAACGCGAAAGAAGATCGCCGAGTTGCTTTTTCACGGAACGTTCGTGTGGAAAAACTAAGCTCGATCAAGATATTGGAATTCTAGTCTGGTTTTAACGGCTGCCTCGAAATTAACACGCGATAGCGGCTCGTTAACGTTCGCCATCACGAGAGAACCAACGCGTTTCTCCTTAGGCAAGCAGCGCGCCATCTACAACAAAGTAATGGAGTGCGTGCACTATCGAACTGGTTTATCGATGAAGGAAAATCATAGCTTGCGTACTTTACACTTAGAGAGACTTAACCCGAACGAAACGACTAAATGAATAAATAAACAAGCGTACCGTAACTGTGGTTACGCGTACGTATTTCCCCCGCTCTCTCACCTACTCTATATATACACGCGCGCATGAAATTAGTAGTTGATCGAACAATTTATCGAAGGGAAAACAAACACACGTTTCTATCTCTACTCGTTCCACGCGAGTATCCACCGCGCATTGACTTTGCGCATTTCATCGCGTATATCGCGTATATCGCGTATATATAAGAAGAGAAAAGAACTTTGCTTTCAAACACACCTATACGTATC